AAACGACCTTGATGCTTTGTTGGCGTTTTTGTACATCCTTATATTTTTGCTGACTACATTTTTTAACTCGATATTTTTCAATGACATTTTGAATTCTAATTTATCGATTTTATTTGGTAGTGTAAATGGCTTGTTTCATTTTGCTAGATTTCTGGTGTTCAACACTGACCCAGGGTAGCAGGTAATGCAGAGGCAGTGAAGAGATCCGCGCTCAAGAGAGTAACAAGGCATACTGGCGAAATAACGCGTGCAAGCTGTCTTTATTTATAAGAAATGGTCACGTGATTAGAGCTATGGTTTTAGAATGATGTGTCCATATCGGCACATTGCTGCATTATACATCCTCTTCCTGTATAATGTCATATGTTCTTGGTGAATTGTTGCTGTTCCTTACGTCAAGGTCTTCATAGCAGACGACCTTGATGGTTTGTTGGCTTTTTTGTACATCCTTATATTTTTACTCACTACATTTTTTAACTCGGTATTTTTCAATGACATTTTGTATTGTAATTTATCGATTTCATTTTGTAGAGTGTAAATGACTTGTTTCATTGTGTATGCCTATTGTGAAAAAAATTCGCCACAAATCTTTTTATTGATTTTGCGCCACAATGTAACCACAGAGTATTTGTATGATTCTGTCGAGGCTTAATTGAGGCTATTGTTGTCGGTGGTCTCGTAGATGATATGAACGTCTTGAGTGTTGGGCGACGGCGAAAGTGCTTTGTTTTGGTTGTGTTCTTGTTTCATGATTTGTATAATGGGGCGATATTTCTTTTTGTGTGGATGAAGATGAAATAACATTTGTTTGATGGTTCTTGTTGACCGAAGATTTTTGCTTTTGTGGCGTTTGGACTAAAGGCGGAGTAATCGGGTGTTTGCGGAGTTGAGGTCGGGGTCCCGTTATTTTCATTGCAAGTAAAAAGTTTCGTTGGCAATTTCCAGGGAAATTGATTTCCCGTTAATATTGTCGGATGGATTTTTTCGTTGTCTGTTGCTCGATTGACTATCATCATTGGGAGTGTCGATGGTAATTGTATCTGCTATTGATATACCCAAGAAATGTCCGTGTCGTGTGTGTTTTATCAAAAGAATTGGCTTTATTTGAGGCCATAATGTTTGTAATGTTGCTAGTAGTTGTCTTAAAAGTCTTGAAGCGATGTTTGTCAAGTGTGGATGAATTTGATAATCGTCGTGTTTGTGCTGTAAAAGGTTAATATTTCTCTCTAAATGGGCTAGAGTCTGGATTCTCAGAGTATATTAGTGAAGTCAGTGTTGCAAACATTAGTTCTAGCGTCTGGTGACTGAGCGGTGAAGTTAGATGTTTGTATGTTATTACGTAGCGGCGTGGTTGAGCTGCGAATTGTTTTTATTTGTTGCTACACCACCTTGTTAGGGAAATGCTCGATACCACGGCTTGTTCATGTATGTATCTTTTTTCTGGTTGACTCATTAAGGGTAACTTTGATTTTGAGGTGATGAAGTATTTGGAGATATTCTATAGATGGTTCTTGCGATGCAGGGTAGAGGTTTTTTTAATTCTTGAAGTTGCCGTTTCAAGTCTATAATATCTTGTTGTGTAAAAGTTTGTTCTGTATTGCACTTTTAAAGAGTAGTAAAACACTTCGCTTCAGTACGCTGACAAAGATGGTTACTATGTTCACACAAAGCGCGCGTTTCTTGTTGTGTTGCCATGCTACTGATAGCTGTCTGAAGATTGCAGGCTGTTTTGTATGTGAATGAAGGGTCTATGACGTTAATGTAAGTTAGTACGAGTCAGAGGTATGACGTGGCGTTGGGTGTGATTAATCTAAAGGATGAGCGGGGTGAGGAGAGCAACTCGCAGAGGGGGATTGGGACTGCTTACAACCTGCGGGAAGACGAGGTCTGAGGACGAGGACAGAGGTCTTGGAAGTTCATTGATACTCGCTCACTTCTCTAACCTAGTTTATTAAGTATGATGGTTACATGTGGACATGAAATGGGCTGAGGGCCCTGACTGCATTTTACAAGTTGGCAGGCGCCATTTAACCTTAATGCAAGTTCTCCACATTACCGACTCGTGATCTACGCAGACTCAAGCAACGTGCAGGGTACGGGGCGATTTCCCCAGAGGTCGTGACGATGAGCTCCGCACACACAGGGTACAGAGAGCGCACGGAAGGGACGTCTAGGGTTATATGGTCGCGGGTCTCGTGACAGCTGTACCGTGTGCAAACTCAGTAGGCTCGTGCGCACAATATGACGTGTGCGAGGATCCGCAGGGAATGGCCCGTATTGTAGAGTAGTATTGATTGATGGCGTCGTTGATGTCTCGGAGTTGTTCTCTTTTAGCGTTGGCGACAATCAGTTAAAGCTACTCGACGCGACACAGGTTTTCCTTGTTGCTGTTTTTGATGATGTGATCCATATGGCCTTCTTTCTCGACTATGACTATGCTTATCTTCTTGAAATGCGTTGTTTTATACTCACTGCGAACAGGAAGTGTGGTCATAACATCCTGTTTACGTCATTCGTGACGAATGGGATTGTCATCGTTGTCTGCTCGCTATGTAGAGAGCCAATGCTTGATGGATAGAACGTTGAGTGTTCAGAACATTGAACATATACACGTAACCAAGATGTTTTTTGTCCTCCTTTGACGTAAATTTTGTCAATACCGTCAACAGCTCTTCGAATCGCTTCGTGTCTACAAGCATACGGAATGTTTCCACATTGCCAGGGCGTGCGGTGGTGGTGCTGCTCAATCCATTGTTTCGAGCGTCGATCGCATGCGCCTAGTTCTTCGGTCTCACAGGGTGGTTGAAATGTCAACGTGGGAATTTTATATTTGTCAAGGTCATCAAAGTCACTTGGTATGCGCAGCAAGGCCAGTGTTTTCAGAACAAACTCTCTGTCTTTCCAAAGCCTTGGAGGTCAGCATTTGCAGTCGTTTTTGTCATTTTCCGTTCGCGGTGATAGAAGTGGTCATTACATCCTGTGTACGTCATTCGTAACGAATGGGATTGTCATTGTTGTTGATGATCAAGTCTGATCGCTATGTAGAGAGCAAATGCATGATGGAAAGAACGTTGAGTGTTCCTTTCTCCTGAAGCAAAGACTTAGTAAGTCGCCACGTCACGTTTGTGGCGGCATAATTTAGCGGCGTTTTGTTATAATGATCTCGTCGATTAACAGTATCACCACGTGTGATGCTGAAAATTAGTCCATCGTTGTGTGCTGTTGCATGATGGATGACACTCCGGACGAAGGCATCGGCCAGCAACAAACACGCGTCGTATGTTCCAAAGTGTGACCAGTGGAGCAGATTCATTTTTGGTCTGACTCTTAGCACAGTGAAAACCGAACTGTGTGTTTATGTCATTTGTATCGCGCGGCTTTGAGGTGGTCTTGAAGCGCAGCTGAGTTTAGCGACGCTACGTGTGGTCGCACACGACCCATGCGCTCACTGTCTTGTAAGCGCCGCACCACACCAACTTTTCATTTAGTCACTAGAGGGCATCTCAAGACTCATTCCATTTCTCGCTACGTGAGTGCGGATGCGTCTCTCGAGCATGCGAGCACACACTCACCTATAAAACAGTGTCATCAAGAGCGTTCGTGTAGTCACGCTGGAGAGTTTTGGTCACTGCTCGCGAGACCGTCACGCGTTGAAGCGACGACACTGATGAATTGCGACATGAAATTGCAAAAGACAGAGTGTCTAGATTTTTGAGTGATGCGGAAAAAATTTTTTTAAATGAGAATGTAAAAAACTAATTAGAATCTGCAATGAGCCAGCACATAAGAGTTGAAAGAGTTTGTGAAAAAGAAATAAAAAATGCCTTGAGCGTGCACGCTAGATCTCTGATTCTGAAAAGATTGATTTGAAGAAGTTTGTAAAGAGCGAAATACAAGAAGCTATGGTGGAGCATGAAAAGAAAGTTCCACCTACGCTTCTGGAAAGTTTGCCTATAGTCGGTTCATCTGTGAATTTCAATTTTAACAACTTATTCGGAGAGTGGGTTCGCCAAAGATAGCTCGGACGTTGTGATTAAGAGCCAATTGGATGCCGCGAGGGCTGATGCAATAAATCATTCGAATAATCTTTTAGGACAGCTTACAAAAAAGTCTCAGGATACCAATCTGCGAATAGACAGACTCGTTAAATTCGTGGACTACAAAGGAGAATAGTGTTGACATCTGGAGACTTCTTTATATATTTTAACATTTGTGTTTGTCTTTTAGTACTGTCATGGTGCGCACCGTGTGTACAACTAAAACGACGAGAGCGTGTAGATCTGGCCCGCCTGATGGTGCGTTACGAAGTGCGAGGAGAAGGACAAAAAGAGTGAGAGCTTTGAGTGGTGGCAGCGACGGTAATTCTCTTCCGAGTGAGGTGATTACACCATCGCCATCTGCAATGGGTCGCGGCATTTTACGAGGTCGATGCATCAGCGGCCCATGCAGGAAGCGAGGAAGTGGTGTGCGAAGGAGGAGGAGAGCGACGGAAGGCGAAAGGAAGAGTAAGAGAGGCGGCTTTCTTCCCGCCGTCATCCCATTAGTTCCCTCCATCATAAGCGGACTGAGCGCGCTGAGTGCTGTCGCAGTCGGCGCTTCCGCTATCGCGACCGCTGTGAAAAACACGAAAAGCAAAAATTAAGAATTAGCGGAAATGATGCGTCATAATAAAGTCATGGAAGAATCCATAAAAGGTTCGGGCGTGTTGCTAAAGGCCGCAAAAATGCTGCGGGGGAGGACGGGGTGGAGGTCTCGAAAAAACTGATGTGTAGAGTACCGCGTCGAGCGCTCACGCATGAGGAAATGTTTTGTGACGGTGTTGAAGATTCCTCATTTCCGAGGTGTGTTTATGCGAGACGAGCTGCCCCGAAAACCTAGGGCGGAGCGTGAGTGCGGCGACGTCAATCTCGATGACGTCAGCGGCGACGGTACTCATTTCGTCGCTTACGTGAAGTGAGGCCGAACGGTTCTTTATTTCGATTCGTTCGGTCTTCCGCCCCCTCCTGAATTCCTTCGATATGCGCGCGGGAGCCGCGTGACATACCAACACGCGTCAGGTTCAACACTGCAACGCGAACAATTGTGGCAAGTTATGTCTGAAATTTCTGTTTTACGAGTGGAAGAAAAAAGTAAGGTTGAAACACTGAACGTTCTCATTGCGCATGAGTCATTCATGAGACGAACACCTACACTTTAGTTGGGAAGGGACCGGAGATCGCTGTTAATTTCGCACCGGGTCTCGACTTCTCGAACGACGTTTACGAGATTGCGTTAGTGCATCTTAGCACTATTCATAACATTCGTAACTTGAAGGACGGTCACAACCAACTACACTACACTACACTACGCGACCGATCTATCAGAAGGTGGGACTGGGACATTTCCACACCACAGTTGCAAGTGTGAATTTGCATGCTGTAGTCCCAATGGCGCGTTATTCCTTTTTTTACAGTGGCGAATTCCCCAGTAGGCACATTTCCACTTTTTAATGTATATACACTTTATATGTTGTTACTAACATGGCGTACCAGGTTTTGTTTTTGTCGTCTTTTCGTTTTTGTCTGCTGCTAGTGCTTGAAAACGTGGATTGTTAACGACGTTTCTGAAGTAGGAAATTGTATTTCCACCTGGACGGAGGAATAATTTGTAATTGACTCGTGTTGATATTTTGATATTGTATCTAAATTTCATGTGATTATTTTAGTCGGGTATTTTTGGTGATGTTAGGTAGGTGGTAGGTGCCGTGTTGGTAATGTCAATTTGGGAGTCATAAAATAAACTAGCTCAACAGAGATTGGCTAGTTCTAAGTATGGTGTAATGGATCTATTAGTGGATCCCACTTTCCAATTAATCCAGAAATCTAAGTTCGATTCAAACTCAGTGATATTGTTTGGAATTCCTCCTAGTTGTTCGTTTGCTCTTTCACGCATTCATTGTCTGCTTGGCTTACCAGATATTCGGAAACGATGAAGTCTTCTAGAAGGGTGTGGTGCGCCAAGCAGTCTTCCAACGTAAAGCACTGAGACCCTGGGTTGCAGTAGATGCAGAGGCAGTAGAGCGATCCGTGCAGACAGAAGTCACCGTGCATACTGGCGATTTGAGAGAAAATCTCGCCTGTTGATATACCCGACGGATGTGTCGAGTATGGTAATGTGTCCTTGATAGTAACTTGTGTTGGCTTACATCCATCCCTTGATCTCTTGATTTGTTATGTTGGCGTCATATGACCATGTGTACGTGGATGACTTGTGGTACATCTGCTTTATCTGTATTGAATATTCATCCATCCTCATTTTATATATTTTTTAGAGATTATCAGTGATCAGTGATACAATGATGGAAGAAAGTGATGGTGGATCAACTATTTGTGTTGTAAATGGTCTAACATCTATATAAAAAGAATACATACTCTTGAGTCTTCATATTCCTTCGCTCACCATCGGTGACGATCATTGATCGGCGAAGGAATATGAAGATTCATAGTGTAAGTATTCTTTTATCCAATCGTCCTCTTTTTTCAGTTAATAATCTCCTGACAATACTAGTTTGTTTAATCCTATTAAAATGACTATCCAAGTAGCCACAGGCGAGGACAGGCCGAGACAGATATGTGACAGTTATCAATAGTACTGACTGACCACTGCCAACGATTCCACTCGTTTTTTTATCGGACTTTTGATAATAAAATTAATGTTAGTAATTTTTGTAGGCAACATTTGAAAGGAAGGGTGAGTGTATAATTTATAGAATTTATCTTCAAAGTCGGAGGTTGCGAGACCGTGGTCTTGCGGTCTCTGTGTTGTTGAGGTCCTTGTATGCCACATTCGTTCTTGAATAAACAGAGTGCCTTTTTTTTCGTGGTACCACTCCAAATGGATAATCGTGGGGAAACCGTGTCGAACCAACATAAATACTGTTTCAGTACACGTCTGAGCAAGAAGAAAGAATGTAACTATCGGTATCCATGTGATGGCAAAGCTCGCCAAAATTGTTCTACAAAAGTTGTAATAGTTATACATTCATAATTTTTGTGTGTAATATACATACATTCATAATTTTGAATGTTCCAAAATACAGAATTCCAAATAGATGGTCTTCGCGAGTTTCACCTCGACTTTGCGCAACTCGATGGTCATGAGGTTCCCTTTCACGGGATGACTAGATAAGGAAGCTGGGTCCGCAATAAGACGGAGAGCTCCACTTTTCATCCGACTTATTATCTTGATAATTGACGCGATGATTTCTAACCTCCATGGACTTACCATAAATGCAATTATTCATTAGTTTTTAGAATTTATCTTCAAAATCGGAGGTTGCAAGACGGCGACGGTTATTGTTCAGGTCCATGTACGAGACAAAACACGGACGCTGGTCAAAAAAGGGAGAACACAGTGAATTTTAGATAGTTGTACACCAAACTCCATGGCCTGAAGTAAATTTTGAATGTGAATAATGTAGCAAGGGCAAGAGCGTGGCAATCAATTTAACTTGTCTGCTTTTCGAGTCCGGAGGTATGCGAGTCTCTGGACAAGGTGGCAGGTCGCTCAACAAGTCGACGTGATCGGGATAGTCTCAATCCTCTAACACGAATCCACCATTCTCTAGACCAGCTGCCTCTTTGACACCCAACTTTTGAAGTTAATTTTGTGTCAAACACCTGAACTATTCTGTGAGTAGTTTGCGACACACTGATTAACGAAATTTGGAAGATAAGGTCCTTTGCGAATGTGGCATACTTCGGAATTTTGAAAAGACACTTCGTCCTAGTCCATCACGAGGTCCCCACGGATCTACAACCGACTTCGTGAGCCTCGACATGAGTTTGCGAGTAAAACAAGTTCACACGTCTGTCGCAAACAAAACTCCTTCCCTCGTGAGATGAAAGTTGAGACTCAACCAGTTTGCCTAAATTCTTAATCCAAACTTAATGGGACTGCCCGCCATCGCCATGTTTAAGCAAGAAATTAAAATGGTTATCTTTCTTTGTTTCCGAAAAGTGCACAAGACCTACGATTTTCCAAGATTTGTTGGCCGAATCAAACTAATGTGAAAACGGTAAATGAAAACCTAGAATTTTGACGTTCGAAACGTTTTATCTCGTGAACGGGCAGGGGCAAGGAGATGACACGCGAATCGACTGTTTCCTAAGGCGGCGGTCACACTGCAGCCGAAGTATCGGTCGGTCTCTGTCGGACGACCGCGAGCGAATTCGGTCGACTTCGGTTCACCCGAAAAGCACCCGAATGTTGCATCCGAAATTCGTCCGAATACTCCCATAATTCCACAGCTCGTTTTCAGGAACATTTGACCCAAGCTCACCACGTGGAAAACAAGTATGGCAGGAAGGAAGATCTTGTTAATGGAAACGAGCCCCCTTCTGAAGATCTTGCTTCTTGAAAAAGAGCGAGATATGTGGGTCAACGAAATTTTCGAAGATCGCGAGAAAAATGGTGAATTTCACACCCTTTTCCCGCAGTTATTGCGCCAGCCGCAAAAGTTTTTTGAGTACATGCGGATGTCTCCAAGTACTTTTTTTTACATTTTGGATGGGAGCATATGGAAGATTCAGTGATAGTGGGGCATTTTTCTCATCAATTGTGAGGAAAAATTTGGAAAGAAGCGAGGAGTGCTTCAATATGCCACACCTCTAGTCCCTGGGGGTGAGAGGATACCTCATGTAATACTTGCTGACCAGGGCTATCCCCTGAAGAA